TTATCACTCTATGTTTTAATTTTCTGGAATTTTATATAAGTGGAATCATATAATATACACCTTNCCCTGGCTGCAGACAAGCGGTGGTCTGCCCCTTATCACTCTATGTTTTAATTTTCTGGAATTTTATATAAGTGGAATCATATAATATACACCTTTTAATGTCTATTTCAGTTCACAGAGGAGCATTATTTTTAGATTCATCCACGGTGCGCATGTGTCAGCTGTTCACTTTCTCTTCATTGCAGAGCTGTATCCCATCGTGTAGGTGGACCATCACCTTTAACCTAGTTATTTGCTGAGCATCTTAGCATGTGCTTATTGACCACCCAGGATTTTTTTGTTTTTGTAAAGTGTCCGTTAAAATATTTTGCCTGTTTCTAAAGAGATCTATTCTTACACTAAAATGGCAAAGAATTTATCTGATATTTTTTCCCAGAACTTTTATAGTTGAAGCTTTTACATTTAGATCTATGATGCATTTAGAATGAGCTTTTGTGTATTATGAGAAGAGTTGATGTTCATTCTTACTTTACCATGGGGATATGCATATGGAATAAATTTCAGTATAAATTTAGTGATACCAATTCATCTTTTTTTTTTCTACTGCCCCAACATGTCAGCCGGCTTCATCCAATATCTTACTACTCTTACACCATGGTGGTGGCAAATGTAGCTTCAAATAAAGAAGTTCCCATTTTTTCATGGTCTCTTATGTCCTTTATCCTGGGTAATACTACAGTGGCTGGTCCCCAGTTACAGGAAAATATTCCCCCAGAGCTCATTTCGCCTTGCATTTGGATTCTTTTTCCATCACTTTTGTTCTATGTGTTTCATATTTAGCATTACAAAAAGTCTCTGTAAATATTCTTTGTAAAAGGATCTACTTTCACCTGCATTTGTGACATATAGGTTTTTGTACATATTTTACTGTTGTTTTTCTAGTCCCAGTCATAATGGAATAATATCATTTATTTGAATTAAAGTTTTGGTTTGATAAAAACACATATATTAACAGTTATTTTCTATTTCTAACATTAGAAAAAGTTCCAAAATAGGTATCTTGTAATGTGTTTTGAGTGAATTCATAGATTTTAAAAGTCACCATTTAGAAACAATTGTTGTATAACAGGTCGTATTCTCCAGTCAGACGGTGCCTAATTCATGGAACATTTGACAGAGCTGGGTGAGGACCTGCTGCTCACACATCTCACGCTGATTCGGGAATTGTTACAGGGTCCGGGAACGGGCTGCCTCTGCTTATCCACTAGGAATTCATTAGAAAAGGGTTTTCAAACATGACCTGTACCTGTAAAATGATTGACATTGAGGATAGACAACGACCTTTTGTTCTTATATAAAAATTCATTTTGTTTAAATATGAATCATCTTGATCTCGCTTACACGTGGAATCTAAAGAACTTAATAAACTGATGAAGAGAATAGATTCAATGACATGGAAGCCTAGAGGAGACTGATGAATGTCAGAGGGATGCAGGAGGGCGGGTGGGTGGAGGGGAGAGGGCCTGGGGAGGGGAAGGGACACCATGGAATGGGTCATTGGGGAGAAAAGGGGACATCTGTAATATTTTAAACAAAAATAAAAGTAAACTTATGGTTAAAAAACAAAAAATATTAGTCATCTTTCTTTCTGTGAAATGCAATAATAAATTAATTCATTTTGTGTAAATGAGCTAAATATATTGATTATGGTGCTATGATAGTCATGAGAACAATGCACTTATTACCTGATATGTTTTATTAATAATTAAACATGCACTGCCAGCTTATCCAAAACAGAACATAGAAGCATAGCATTAGGCAATTCCCAAATACGTTTGCAATGTGATTGTTTGAGGAGCATATCTAGACTACTCAATGGATATTTGAGACAATTAAAAATTATTTTGTTTTCTAAAGTTTACTAAAAAAGAATTGACAAAATCCTGACTGTAAACCTGGAAATGTGTAAAAGAATCTCATGATTTTTTCACATCATGTGATTATATAATCTACTATAGTGAGGGGTTATGCAACTGAGAGACTAAGCGCTTCCCTGGAAACCAAAAAAGTAAAATGAAATTCATGTTTCAGAACTTCCCTACCCCAAACGCATGTAATGTAGTAAAAGAAAGGTGGCTTGTAATATGGGCTTTTATATAATTCCTATTCTAACATTGCTAAATTTACCATTGTTCAAAGCATTTCTGTGGTTAAAAGTGCTTGAAAATCTGTGACTCTGAGATATAAGTGATATTTAATGTGAAAAATTCATATTTAAACAAATAATAAAAAATGAATATTTGAATTCTACAAGGTATTTAATTTTACCAATTTAAACCTCAATAATATTTTATAAAAGAAAAAAAGAATGTTACTCAGAGCTAATAGCACTGTTTCAATTTCCCACAGCACCTCCAGACTTCTACTTATATACCAGGATTTTTAAAAATGTTCCTTCACATGTTCTTTTATGTGACTTCCAGACTCTTTTCCCTGATGTTGACGTAGCAGAGTTCTTTATTGTTCTTTATTGTCATTTCCATTAGTTGTACAGCTCTCAGTTTTCATTACAGAAGATTTTGTATTTAATTCTTTACAAATGGATTTATGTGCCTCCCACATGACGTGACCGGCGCGGTGAGATTTGTTGTCCGTGTGTCTGTCCCGCTCGGCGGGCATGAGCCGCACCGCTCGCCGCACAGAGCTGGTGGCTGTCGGTCACTGCGGGTCCCTGTGCATTACATTGAGCCGAAGGAGACAGGACACGGGGCGCGGTCGTCCCCCCTGGGGCAGATTCGCACGGTGTCCCCTCCTGTCCCATTCTCTCCGCGTCCCTCTGAAGCCGTCTGCTGTGTGGAGGATGACAGCCTCCCTGCACGGGGACAACTTCATTTCACTTGTGAAGCAAGTGCTCTGAGCCTCTGTCACCTCCATAATATGTTAAATCATTTATATTCTACTTCTTCAAAAGGGGATTTGAGGTAACAGGTGTTTAAAATGTCTGCTGGAACTTTTTCCTATTAAGTGACAAAGTTGACAAGAGTAAGGCATGTCCAGGCACTGACGGGCCTCCCGGGGCCTGACCCTGCTGTCACCCCTCGGGGCTGAGCAGCCTGAGGCAGTTCACTCAGCAAACCCGCCTCAGTCTACACTGACCCCGGTTCCCACGGCACCAGGCGCCCCGAGGACAGAGGCCACAGCACTGCGGGTGACTCAGGCCACGGGAAGGGTGTGAGTGTGTCAGGAATGACACAGAGCAGGCCTGGCTGGTGTGGCTCAGCTGGTCGGAGTGTCGCCCTGCACATCAGAAGGCGGCGGGTTTGATTCCTGCTCAGGGCACAAACCTGGGCTGTGGGTTCCATCCCCAATCGGGGCAAATACTGGAGGCCACTGATTGATGTTTCCCTCTTCCTCCCTCCCTTCCTCTCTCTAGGATCAATCAAAATAAGTAAAAGAACAGCGGGCTTTGAATATATAAAAAATAAAAAAGAATGATGCAAAGTTCTATAGGGACTCAGAGGAGGGGGTGTTCCGATTCGGTTTATTACCAAAGACTTTCTGGAGTTTCATTCACAGCGGAGCTTAAAGAATTGTAGGACTGGAGAGATGGTCGGTGAGCACGTCAGTCCAGGCTGAGAAAACTGGAAAAGAGGCACAGAAGTTATGAAAGGTAATTTGTGTTTGAGGAATGGTCAGTAGTCTCCTTTGATTGGACAATGAAATAAATTGAGCGCTTCGTAAGGCTCCATCTTTTAAACACTTTATAGGAATTATTTAGGAGGAAACTGGCTTGGAGAGGTAATTTTCCAAGCTATTTACCTGGTTAGAAAATGGTAAAGCAGGACTTGGACTCCAGCAGTTTGGCTCAAGAGCCTGACTGTATAATGATTAGATCAGAGCTGCCTCCAAGGAAATGTGTGAAATAAAGTGAAAGTTAGATTTGGTGTGGACTCTAGATGGCGGTGACCATGATGAATGGCGGCCTAAGACGTCTCAGCTTCATTTGAAAGTCATGGGGATCTTTAAGTTTTGAGGTCAGGAAAAGAAAGAATTTGAAGAGAGTTTAAAAAAGTATCAATAGGTAGCAGTTTACAAAATGGATTTGAAGGTTAAATTAAGAGCCAGTGGAGGCGAGTCAGTAATTGGCTGGAGTGGCCCCGGCAGGCTCTCACCTGACACAGGGTCAGTGGGACAGAGGGGACTGAGGGGACGCTCTGATGGCAGCCGCAGGGAGGGTGAGCATGTTCTTCCTGATACTACATCGTCACAGATAATTAAAACACGTCTACATTTTTTGCATTCAGGCCATGAAATTTTAATTAATATTATTAAAGTGACTTGATAAAGCCGCCTGTATTTTATAATTTTATAAATAAAAGGAAGCTGGTAGAGATCAGGGATAGCAAAATCGTGACCTGATGTTCCTCCTTGAAACTTTCTTCATTTCCTTCTTTTTTCCTTCCATTCTCCCTCCCCTGCCTCCGCCTCCTCCCTTCTTCCCTTTGTTTTTCTCTGCTTCTGTCTATTATTCTTTCTGGCTGGCAACAGAAAATTATAGTGATATATAACAGCCATTACCTTACACACAACTTTTTCAAGTTTCAGTAGCAAAAAATGCATTATTTTCAGTACAGGGAAATTGGTCAGAACTGCAGTACAGGCAGGCTTGTCCACGGAACCATCTGGCAAGATTATTTGTTTGTTTTTTGCATATATGTCTACTTATCTCCTTGAACTGAAATAGAGAAGTGCTTAGAACAGTGCCTGGTACAAAGCAAGTACAACAAGTGTAAGTAAAGTTTTACAAAAGAATTTAATGTAAATACATAGAAAAGCACTTTCTACAGAATCACATCAACTTTTCATGTTCTTGCGTTCACAATGTGTTTTATCTTGCCCTCTGTCATCAGATGTATTTTTCCCCATCTCTTCTTTTTTGAAGCCATTTTCTTGTAAATGATAATCCATCTTTTTCTCTAAAAGGAGTTATTTCTAAAACATTAAAGAAAATATATTAACATCAACTTACGATGTAGAAATGCAAAACAAATATTTATAATATGATAGTACATTGGAAATGAACAGTATTTCCTGTCTTGTGACTTGTAAGGTTACTCTGAGTACCAATTTGGGAGAGCAGGAAGTAAGGGGTAAATTTCCATTTGTGGTCAAACTTGATGAATACATATATTTAACATGTACTAATGCAATTTACTTCACTGCATATATTCAGGGAACTAGTCTAGTTCAGATGAGAAAGGGCCTCTTAATCCACAGCTGAGGGAATTTCTAAATCATCTTCAACCAGAGGATTTCTGAGTAAACATAATACATGAAATGTGACCTCCCTCTGTGAATCTCTGGACTAATATTGATCCTGGATGCACCACAAAGGGTATAATTGCACAGAGCAAGAACCCCAGAACTCCTCAGAGGGTTCCCCAGTGTACTCAGCAAGAGAATGGGTCAGTGCATGCGTGTGAAAAAAACTACCCAAGGCCACGGAAAGGACCATCCGAGAGGATCAGGGAGAACAGCGCCCCTCCCCCGCCTATCATGTCCATTCTCAACAGCCACTCTGGGAAATGCCACTCACAGTGCACTGGGCAGAGCAGTAAATGGGCCTTGCCTCAGGACCGGGAATAAGGAGCCCCAGATTGAACATGCTTCTGGCTCCATCTAACAGGTTTTAAAAAGCAAGACCTATAATAATCAAACTGTTTCTAAATAAATTATCTACATCCAAGGAAAAAGCTAAAGACATTTATAAGAACATAAAAATACTCAGCACCCAAAGAGTAAAATTCATGGTATCTGGCAGCCAATCAAAGACTACTAAGCATATCAAGAAGCAGGGAAGTATGACCCATAAAATGAGTAAATCAATCAATATTGACCCAGAAATGACACAAATGTTAGAATTAAAGAACATTAAATAACATAATCACATCCCACATATTCACAAGGCAAAGAAGACACATGAAAGATATAAAAAAGACCAACATAAATTTTTAAATGTGTGAGACAGTAATACAATGGATACATTAACAGCCTAGTAGACAATTCAAAAGAAGATATTAATTAATGTCTGTTGAGAAACAGAGACCATCCAAGAGAAAAAGACNTAGTAGACAATTCAAAAGAAGATATTAATTAATGTCTGTTGAGGAACAGAAACCATCCAAGAGAAAAAGACAAAGAGTAAAAAATTACAAAAGGAAGAGAGTCTCAGGGAGATGGGGGACAGCATCAAGCAGCCTAATATGTCTGTAGAAAGGAGGGATAAAAGACGTATTTGATAATGTTTATTATCACAGCTTCTATTCTGCATTATACTGGAGGTTCTAGTCCATGCTATCAGGCAAGAAAAGAAATACAGAAGAGAAGAGAATTTGAACAGAAGAAATAAAACTACCTTTGTTTACAAACCGTATGATCACTTGTATGGAATATCAGTAGTCATCTGAAAAAAGATGACTAGAACTAATAAATTATTTTTAATAACCTAGACTACAAGATGAATATAATATTCCTTTTTATAACATCTAATTTAAAAAAATACAAATAATAATAGTGAAAATTATGAAATACCTAGGGATGACTGCATCAAAAAGATGTGTAAGACTTGTACACTACAAACTCATAACATCGATAAGTTAAGGATACCTAAATAAATGGAGAGACATATTTGGTTCATGAGTTGGAAAAAGTATTATCAAGAGATGAACTGATTCCAAACTAATCTACTGAGTCAACACATTTCCAGTAACAATTTCAGCAAGATTTCTTGGTACAAATTGACAAGCTGATTCTAAAATTCATATGGCGAAGTTAAAGGGCTTAGATTAGGTATAACAACTTAAAAAAAGAACAGCCCTAGCCAGTTTGGGTCAGTGGTTAGAGTGATGGCTCAAGGACTGAAGGGTTCCGGGTTCGATTCTGGCCAAGGGCNTGGCTCAAGGACTGAAGGGTTCCGGGTTCGATTCTGGCCAAGGGCACGTTCCTTGGGTGAGGCTCAATCCCTGGCCCTGTTGGGGTGTGTGTGGGAGGCAACCGATCAATGTGTCTCTCTAACATCAGTGTTTCTTTCTCTCTCTCTCTCTCTCCCCTTCCACTCTCTCTGCAAAAGAATGGAAAAAATATCCTCAAGTGAAGATTTAAAAAAAGCAATCTACAAAACAGCCTCTCAGGTATAACAACATGAGTTTATTTATTTATTGGAATACATAAACATTCATAGAAATAGTGTGTGTGTGTGTGTGTGTGTGTGTGTATGTGTATACACCAACAAGTTAATAGGGTGGCGCTGGAATTACAAGTTATTTTTCTCCTAAACAGATTTAGACTCTAGCATGGCCGGGGTGGCTCAGCGGTTGAGCATTGACCTAGGATCCATGAGATCGGGGTTCCTTCTCGTTCAGGGCACATGCCTGGGTTGCGGGCTCAATCCCCAGTAGGGGGCGTGCAGGAGGCAGCCGATCAATGACTCTCTCCTCATTGATGTTTCTGTATCTCTCTCCCTCTTCCTTCCTCTTTCTGAAATCAATACAAATATATTTTATAAAAAAAGAAAAATGACAAAAAACCCAAATTGAGACTCTAAATCATAAAATATTATATATTATATAAAATTAAAATAACTTACTCTAAAATTAACTACTGGATAATAATTGAGAACTTTTTCCAAGAAATTCTGATTTTAAGAAAAAATAATTTATATAACTAATTTTTCTATATAAATTACAAGTATAGTTTATGATGTGAGATAAAATCAAAAGTAGCTGTATCAAATAATACGGAAAACTTTTTATATTATAGTCAGAATATACTAATGGCTGAAATATAGTAAAAGTGTCCCTAACTTTCAGCTTTGTATGACACATATCTTTGGGGAAACTGATCCATCGTCGTCCTGTATAGTGTACTTTCAAAACTCAAAACCAGCAAAAGCTTCTCTAACAGTCGAGATCAGAGGCGAAGGGAAACCTACCTTCTCGGCGCCCTCTCCTCCGCTTCTGCGCCGCTGTCCCTCTGTCCCAGCTTCTCTTTCAGCATCTTCTATGGTNACCAGCAAAAGCTTCTCTAACAGTCGAGATCAGAGGCGAAGGGAAACCTACCTTCTCGGCGCCCTCTCCTCCGCTTCTGCGCCGCTGTCCCTCTGTCCCAGCTTCTCTTTCAGCATCTTCTGTGGCCTTTGCCAGAAGCAGCATCTCTTGCCGTCCATCCCTAGAGAGCACAGTGTCACTGTGGATTAGAACAAGTCAGAAGTCTAACAGAAATCAGGTCCCGGGTAATGAGAGTCGCCCTGGCTTTCGGATGGGCGTCTCCTTCCTGCTCTCCGACTAGGGATGCAGCCTGGTTATCTTTGGCATGGTGATTTTTTACTAAAGCTAAATTGAAAAAGTCTCCTCCTCACACTGAGGGGAGTTAAATGGTGTCTAGTAACTTTCACAATCGTCTCCTTAAGAGCAGATACTGGCTCATACATATAGTTTGTGGTATCAGTCTCAGTATTTTATGTAACAACTTGTATATTATAGCTGTGAAGAAAGATTCATGTGGGTAAATTATTTAGACCTGAAATGACACCAAGAACTATGATAGACAGCTAAAATTATTTACAAATTAAACACTGTACACACTTTTTCTGTTAATATTTTAAATGTATCATCCTGGCTGGTTTGGCTCAGAGTCGGCCTGCTGACTAAAGGGTCCCGGGTTCAATTCCAGCCAAGGACATGCACCTCGGGTGCAGGCTTGATCCCCGGCCCCAGTCGGGGCTTGTGCGGGAGGCAACCAGTCAGTGTCTCTCTCTCACATCCATGTTTCTGTTTCTGTTTCTCTCTCTCTCCCCGCCCACCCCCCTTCCACTCTCTAAAAACTAATGGAAAAAAAATCCTCCAGTGAGGATAATACACACACACACACACACACAAACACACACACTTGAAATGTCCCTCTCACCTCTTCAGTTTTTCTACGAAGACTGTTTCCTTCCTGTGTGTCCTGCTGTCGTCTTCCTTCTCTGTCCATCCACAGTGGCCGCTGCTCCTCTGCTGGGAGCTCAGGTTGGTGTAATTTCCTGCTCATCACATCCAAGTATCTGAATAAAAGCGCGAATGCAAGTGAAGGTGAATTGAGTGTTTCCCCTTCTAATGGCATCAGCTGCTTTATATGCTTGATATGCCCGACCCCTTCCTTGCTCACTTTTCATTTCTTGAACTAGGGGAATTTTAGTTTTTCTCTCAGTTCTGCTCATATTTTGTTATACAGATCTCCCTACCATGTCAGTAGCTGTCCTTATGGCTAAGACAATGGTAAAATGTGAAGCAGATTCTTTCAAAACATTTTGCACAGTAATTATTCATAACTGAGTGGCCTTTAGGGATATGAGTTTGCAAAGCAGGCTGGAATTACTGAAAACTGATTTCACATCTAAGAAAGAAAAACCATATCTGAATTTCCTAAGAAAAAGATGTATCCTGGGCCCCTGCACCTTCCAAGGCCTCGATCAAATCTTCCATGTGTAGGCCGGGTCTCTGGGATGTCAACACGCTTAAGGAACTACCACAAATGAGCCCACGGAAGACAGAAGTCAGGCTGTGCAGCCCAGCCCCTCCGTGGATTAGAAGATTGCTTTCCTTTCCTAATTTTCAGCCTCCCCCTCTCGCCTCCCCGCTGAAAAGAGCCATAATGGAAAACACCTTGGGAAAATGAAGCCAAGCAGACATGGTTTTGAATCCTAACTCTGTGATGCTAGTTCTTTCTCTGTGTCTAAAATTTCTCCACTATAAAAGAGGAAAAATAATGCCATCCTTTCAAGAAAATTTCTGTGAAGATATGTGTAAAGAACATACCTTATTGCTTGATGGAAACAGGTCCTCAATAAACAGTAACTGTTCAGTTTAAAAGCCTACAACATTTTCAACAAATTGCTAACATTTAGCACCTCTGTGTTTGCCATTACAGTTTAGAAGTTGTTATGCATAAAATAATATGGACTTTATTTTTTTATTTTTAATCACATTTTGACAATCATATGTAAAATAATATTAAGTGATCTTCTTTTTTCTCTGCCTAATCTTTCAAGAGCTCCTCACTACAGCTAATATAAATCCAAATTCATTACCATGGCATTCAAAAGGGCAGCAGGATCTGGTTCCTGCCTCTCTACAACCTAATCTCACGTCACACTCCCTCTAACTCAATGGGCTCTGGCCACACTGCTCAGTGTCCTGAACAAGCGTGTTCTTTCCCACATCAAAGTCTTTGTATTTACTGTCCCCTCCACCTGAACACGGGCTCCACACCCGCTCTCCCGTCACATAGCTCACTTCTTCTCACCCTTCGTGTTTCCTCCCTGCTGTCATTTCCACAGAAGCCTTCTCTGACAACCATCTCTGAAAAAGTCCTAGTCTCCTCTTCTGCCCTTTATGTGCTCTTCTCAGCAATTCACTTTCTGTTTCGTTTTAAGGCCCATCTTCCCCACCAGAAGGCTAGACTACAGGAGACTTAAAATGACCCAGGTTTGACATCAAAACTTCAACTAAACAACAGAACCACCATCATTCAGAACCACCTGAAATTGAGCTGAATGGAAGTCCTACAACTATGAAATTAAAGCAGCCCCATCAAGACTGTTGGGAGGGGCAGAGGCACAGAGCAGGCTGATTCCACACCCACGAGTGTGGGATAAAAATTGGGAGGGATACATTGGCTGTGGAGGTCCCCTCTGAGGGGCGAGGGGTCCCAGTCCAACACCAGGCCCCCCAGCCCTGGGTTCCAGTCCCAGGAAGAGAAGTCCCCTTAACTTCTGACCTAGCACATATTTCCTGTTAAGAGTTCACAGCAAGTCATCGTTATAGTGCTACTCACTGCAAATACCATTGGATCAGGTTTGATACTTCAGATGGACAGTAAATGTATTTATGAAACTTTTCATTCAGTGTTAACTTTTTCTTTAAAATTTTTCTTTGTTAATCCTTACCCGAGGATATTTTTTCCATTGAATTTTTATTTTTAGAGACAGTGGAAGGGAGGGTGGGGTGAGAGGGAGAGAGAGAAACGTCAATGTAAGAGAGAGACATCGACTGGTTGCCTCCTGCACATGCCCCGACCAGGCCATGGGATTGAACCTGCAACCCAGGAACGTGCCCTTGATCAGGAATTGAACCCACAACCCTTTGGTGTGAGGGCCGATATTCTAACCTCTGAGCCACAGTGGTGAGGATGGTGAGGGTGGTGTTAACTTTTTAATGGAGGAACCTTTCCCCGTGAAACTAAGGAAATATTGGCAAAAATAAGGAGAAAAGATACTTAATCACAATAATGCAAAACGACTAACTTCAACTGATTGACTTAGAGGAACAAGCGGACATGTTAGTCGTAATCTCTAAAGTTCATCACTGGGTCACAGTGACCCTACTTGCACGGTACAGTGTGCTCAGGATGGGAAAGTGCCGACGGACAGGACAAAGGCCATTCATTTATCCCGGGAGACACGGAAAACACATGTGCTCTCTCTGTTACACACACACAGTGATGTCGGAACATCCGCTGACTTACAGAAGCGCTAACATTTGAGATGAATCTTTAAGCGAATGTAGGATAAGAAGATAAGAAAATTCAAGGCAGAGGAAACAGCAGAGAGACAGGAAAAGCCAACGTCCTGAAGGGGGAAGAAACGGCCAGAGCTTCCTGAGAGGGCTGCAGCCTGGGCCGCCTGGTAAATGGGGGTTAACTGGGAGAGACTGAGGCAGGTGCTGGGGGTGAGGGAGAACATGAGTTTGGGTTTACGGAAACTGGGCCTGAGGCACCTGCAGGACTTGCACCTAGAGCGACGCACAGCTGGAAGTCAGGCCGGGAACACAGGGAGCGGTCAGGGCTGACACAGTGTTGGGAGCCATCAGCGTGGAGACAGGGCTGGTGCCCTGGACGTAGGTCAGAAAGAACAGGCAAAGCAGAGAGAGTGAAAGGATGAGAGACCACTTCACAGCCGAGGTCACTGTGATGACATCCAAGTCTCCATAGACTACAGCTTTCAGCTAATGTATATTGAATAGAACTATGATAATAATTTGGGTCCATATGTATTTCTAATAAGCATTTTTCTCATTAAATTTATGTCTACTATAAACACAATGCACATATAAGTGCATCCTTCAGCTATCTGGTCATCTTTTGTTCTTTCTTCTATTATGAAATTATGTTTTTCTTATCAATTAATGTAATAATATCCACTCAGTCATTTTTGTTGTAAATCTATCCTTAAGGACAACATCCAGATAAAATAAGCCAGAAACTGGTAGTTTAACCTCTAGGATTTGTAAATTCAAAATTAATAGAAGGCACGTGTGCATGTAGTTTGTTATTTCATTAGCTTTTTATAGGCACACAGGAGATACAGCAATAGTTCTCAAATTGTAGTTTTGGATTCTTCGGTGTCCACGAGACCCTTTAAGAAAATAAATGAAATTAAAATGATTTTCATAAAAAGCCAAAAGTTGCCTTTCTTACTCTTATATCCTCATGCCTGTGTGAAATTTTCCAGAGACTAAATGATATGTTATATTCTAACAGATTGAATCTATAAACAAATATGAGAATCCAGCTATCTATTAATAATCTATACATTAAAAAATTTAAAACAAAGTTACTCTTACTATTCGTTTTTGTTTTGGAAAACAGTTATTTCATATTAAAAATATTTATATGAACATTCGGTGTATTATTGTTATTTTAAAAAGAATTACACACTTTAAATTTCTCAGTCTTAATTTCTAACAAGAAAAACACTGATCAATATTTGCTCATGATGCACATTAGTGAAAGCTCTTTAGGATGCTCAATAATTTTTAAAGAGTGTAAATGGCATGAGACCAATGAATTTGAGAAGCATTGGATTATAGCATTTAAAGGAAAAAGATGGAGTGCGGGGTGAGCAGCCCAAAGAGGTAGAAATGGTACTGGAGAGCCTTGCAAGTCTCCCCCTTTCTTCTAAAATGTGAGTAGCAATGAATGTTTTCGAGTTCAAAAAATGATACACTAGAAATATTTTCACACTACAATTTCTAAAATCAGTTACCACCACCTAGTGTTATGATTAGATAGTACATCTTTTTTTCTTGGAATTTTAAACAAATGTCTAGAATAGTTTATAATACTTTGTTAGTACAACAAAGTACTGAGTAACTTTGTGGTTCACAATTCTTGAACAATAAATTATTCATATTAGGTCAGCAATCACATGTTTAAGCATGTAGTTAGGATGGTATTATTTAAAAAGTGTATTAATCCTGATTCCTTAAACAGAATATATACTTAAAATTTTCATCTGCTTTTGATGGCCAAGGCGCACCATTCAGAATATTCATGACTGTACAAAGTTGAAATCAGAGTGAGGACACAATATTCTCACCTATTACAACTTAGAAAATTAATTGTAAGACTTCTCTCAGTAAGTCTAAAGAAAGTTCTAATAATTATGTTATTATATTTCACAATTTCCTACCTAATTTCCTCTCCTTAGCCGAGCATTCATGATTGATCGTATTGGTCTCTGTCAACCCTGATTTGTGTCCATCCTGAGACTGGATATAGAAGCAGAATTTTACATTCCTGAGCCTGGTTTTCCATGGTCTCCTCCATCCTGGCTCTCACTTCTCCTGCTGTCACAGGGTGTCCACAGCAGCTCCTCTGGCCTTTCAGACCTGGTGCGTGAACTGTGTGGAATAAACACCCCGAGGGCCCGGTCCTGGGAGGAACAGCGCTGACCGGGGGACATGAAGGGCAGGAGCCGGGACTGTTCCGAGCGGCGCCCGGTGTGGGGGGGGCTCAGGCCACAGAGGAAGGAAGTCCCGCCACAGCTGGCGACAGGGTGGACCTGAGGACACTGTGCTGAGTGAGACACGCCAGTCACAGCGGGGAACCCACATGCCCCACTCATACGCGGCATCTAGAACAGTCACACTGGAGAGCACAGAGTGGGGGCTGCGGCCCCCGGAGGGAGACGGGGGGGGA